GCACCTGCGTGGCTGGGCGATTCTCACCAGTCTGCTTTGATGAAGGCCCAGGGCACTGGACAAAAACCATTTCAAAAATAGTGAGGAACCATAAAAAATATCAACTAAATCTAAAAGCTGCTAGATGATGGAACAAAGTATAGAATATGATTGACCAGAGTCAATTAAAAAGCATGAGATTGCACAAATGACATAGAAATCTTGTTCACAGAAATAATGGCAGAAAACTTTTCAAGCACAGGAAAAGAATTTGACCTACAGAAAAACGAGCCATAAAGAATTCCAATTAGCTATGATGAGAAGAAAACTACATCAATCTGTATAATAGTCAAAATTCTAGAAATTCAACACAAGAACAGAAAATCAAAATCTGTTAGAGAAAAAAAAATCATCTGTAAAATGAGCCCATCAGAACCACATAGACTTCTCAACTCGAATCCTTACATCAAGGAAAGTTTGGAGAAGGATTTCATGTCCTAAAAGAAAACAATTTTTAATACAGAATGGTATACTTATAAAACTGCTTTTTAAAATTGATGGAGAAATGGCACCTCCATGTTAAAGAACACCTGAAGAAATTCATGACCATCAAACCAGTACTCCAATTCTGAAGAATATTCTAAAAAAAGACAATGAAGACAGTAATTTCATGAATCCCAGTAAGCTCATATAGAATGCAGCAAATCATCAGGAACATTATGTGCCAGTACCCTCTTTCTGTCTCTTATATCTAATCTGGCCACTGACCTGTAGGGGAAGTAGCACTCTTACCCAGGGTGGTGCAGCCTTAATCCTAACATTGCAACCTGAATCCATCTCAAAAGTAGTTCTTTGAATCCAGGAGGATATGACCTAGATCCAGCTACCTCTGAAAAGCCCCACCCATACCTGTATGAGGGCTTGGGGGGACATCTAGATACAAGCCACAACAATTATGAAGATATTTGAATAAATGCTAGGTTGTGTGTGTGCACGCACATGCGCATGTGTGTTGGTTTATGTGTACTGTTGCCACAACAATTTGGAAAGTTCAAAAACAATTTCTAAGAATTTTAGATTGAACAAAGACATTTAAAAAAAATTTTAATTTTATTAGTACAATTTAGATATACATAATGATCACATTCATCATAGGGAATTTGTATGTGTGCATGATGTATCTTGATTTCTCTTTTTTTCCTATTCCCCTCCCCTCCCTTCAAACCCTCTTCCCCTCCATATTTACAAAAGTCCTGTTTCATTTTTTCCTTCTTTTCTCATTTTTTGTTTCCTTCCTTCCTTTTTTCCTTCCCCCTTCTCTAGTTTCCCTTTCCTTTTGAACAATTTTTTCTTATTTTACATTGTCTATAATACATTTTTGTCCCTATTTACACTTACAGTTGTAGTAATAGCTAAATCTTAGAAAAAACCCAAATGGCCATCAATAAAAGAATGGAAAAGAAGATGAGTCTTTTCTAGAGTATTACTCAGCCATAAAGAAAGATAAACTTGAGATATTTATAACTAAATGGATGCACCTTGAAGCTATACTCTTAAGTGAAATAAATCAGAAACATACATATAAAGAAGGACATTCTTTTGCACTGAAAAAATGATGTATGAGTTTTGTTTTGGGGCAGTAGCTTAAGAAATCTTACTCTATAGAAAGAAGTATATCATGACTACAAATAAATATGAAGTTATTTTCATTATATACTTTCATATTTTCTAAGGTTTCTTGTTTTGCTTTTTCTTTTCTTTTTATTGTGGTGAACATGCATAACAAAATTGACTTTGCTATTTTTTTAAGAATAGTTTGTTGGCATTAAATTCAGTCATATTATTGGGCAACCAGCACTGTCATCCATCTCTAGAATAATTTTAATTTTCCAGAATTGGAACTCTGCACCCACTCAACAGTAATTCCCCATTTCCACTTTTCCTTATTCCTTAGTGTTATGACTTATGTCTAGATGTCCTCTTAAAGCCTAAGGTGGTCTTTTCCAGAGGTGACTGAATCTAAGATGTGTGGTCCTGGAATTAAGGGCTTTTGATTACTAAACCACTACAAGTATGTGATTGGTTTGGCACCACCCAAATCACCTTAGTCTTGGTGGGATGAAAGAGGCAGGAGGATGATTGTTAGCTGTCTTGTTGCCATTGCTACCTTGTGCAAGTCATGTTGTTTCTCTTCTGCTTTGCCAATTTTTCATCCCTGTCTTGGAGCCAGCCAAGCATGGACTGACATCTGTAATGAGCTGTGAGCTAAATAAACCCTTCCCCTTTAACTTTGGGTGTCACGTATTTCGTCTCAGCAACTAGATAAAGGTAAGTAACACTAGACAATCGTCATTTTGTCATACATTCTATTTCTGTAAACATTGCCACTCTTAAATCTCATATAAGTGACATTGTATGTCATTTGTTCTCTTTTGACTGGTTTATTTTACTTACCATAATGCCTTCAAGGTTCATCCTTATTATAGTTTTAAAATTTGAAAATTAAAAATGTCAGAATTTCCTTCCTTTTTATTTTTTAAACTATTTTTTCATTAAGTTTATTGGTACGTTTAAGGTAAACAATATAATTACATTCATCATTGGGATCTTGTACATGATATGTCTTGGTTCTTATTTTTTTCCCATTTCCCTGCCCTCCCTTCACCCCCTTCACCCTTCGCTATTTACAAAGACTTTGTTTCCATTTTTCCTTTTTTTGTATTTTTTTCCCTTATTTCCTTTCCCCTACCCTTTCCAATTCTCCCTTTTAAAAGTGTTGTTCATTTAAATTTAGCATTCTATATCCTTTATAGTTACATACTCACTCAAACCTAACAACCTACAGTTTTTCTTTATTCCTTTAAAGAAAACAGGGTTTGGACCCATAGAAGTTCCCTTGTTTCACCCTTGGAGATAAGTCTCAATTCAAATAAATGCAAGGCACAGCGTCAGGTAAAACAGAGTGAAGACATGAAATAATCACAGTTGATATGTGTCAGTATTGTGTGCATGCTTAGAACTACAAACGATATGTTGAGCATTGCTCAGGATCCAGAATCACGGTGCCATTATGGAGTCTAAGAACTGATGAAAGGTCCTGAACCATGATATATGAGGAACTCTGAAAAGATAAAGATTGTCAAGGTTAGCACACGTGACCCCCTGGAAGTCCAAGCTCTTTGGGACCATTGACTCTGATTGCCAACTTGACTAGATTAAGAGGTTTTTTGCAGAAGTGATTGGATGATGTGGGCACTGTACTCAGTAATGAATTAAGCCATTGATGTTCACACCTGAATATGTTGCTCAGAGATTGGACAGATTCGAGGAGGTGGGTCACTGGGCCTACATTTTTTGAGGGATTATCTCTCTCTGGCTTTTCTTCTATGCTCTGCTGCAAGGCCATCATGGAGTGAGCAATGAGGCTTCACCATGTCCATATGCCATGTGCCTCCTGCCTTGGAACCAGCACACTACAGACTGAAACTTGTGAAACCATGAACCAAATAAATCTCTTCTTGTTTAAGTTGAGGGTACCTTGCATTTTTTCCCGAGAATGGCAAAGCTGGCTAATCCACCCTCTTTTCATTATAATTGCTCTAATTGTGATCATTACACAGAATATAATAATAATAATAATAATGATAATGATGATGATGATGATGATTTGCAATAAATAGGCATATGTGATAGTTTTTGTTTTCTCAGTGTTTATAGCAAAAATACTGTTAAATGGTCAGTAAGCCTATTTCCTATTTTTTCCTGAGTAAGCCCTTAGCTTTTATTTTCCAGACCTTTTATGCACACACATTTGATTCTAAATAGTAATATGTGAATGGAAGACATGTAGGAAGACCCTGTACTGTACCACAGTGACTAAGAGCCTGTGTCTTTCTCCACTCTAATAGGCATTATCTCAGCTCCAAAGACAGATAACCCAGTGGAAGAATACAATGTTCTAGAAGGCAGTAATACTCCCGGACAGAAGGAGACTGTATCCTTGAATTCTCTAATTTTATAGTGACAAGAGCAAGAAATAAGACTTTTTTTTTTTGTGGTAAGGCTTGGGAATTTGGGCCTGTTTTTGGAACAGCAGTTAGCTTACCCTGATTAATTCTGGATCTGACATATTAAAGTGTTCATCTTCCCAACAACTCTAACAGATAGCTAATATTACTTTCTGTATAGCTGCATTACAGATTAAAATAATGAGATCAGAAAGATTATGTAACTTTCCCAAGGTCACATAAACCCGTGGTTTAAACAAGGCATCCTAGTTCCAGAGTCCTTGCTCTTTACCCCTGGAGTCTATTCACTGGTACCGTTCAGCATTTAATGTTAGTTTTCAGAGCAGATCTATGAATTATTATTTTCCTTAGATAGATGAGAACCTTGATTTTAACACAGTAGAAATGATTACTAAGTTCCGCAGTTCACATATGAGTCCAAGCTTGAGAGACATCAGTCCTCTTTTTAATATGCTATATATTTTTACATGATACCTGATTAAGATAAAGGATTTATGCAGTTCTGTAGAACCAAGGAAGCCATAGAAGCAGAAGCTCCAGGGAAGTCAATTGTGGTTTAAACTTGGAAGGTTTTACCAGCAATTTTAGCTGTTCAATGTGGAATAAGGCTGCCTCATGAGGCAGGGATTCCCCATCAGAAGATTGCAGCATGGGCTATAGGAATCTTCAAGACAGATATTTTAAAGATGACTGCATAAGATATGTGTTTTGCTTGGGATTCTGTAAAATACCTTCCAACTCTGAAATTCTGTGATAAGGATCTGTTAGAAGATCATGCATTTAATCTAGTCTGCACTGCAGAGTCATATGAGAAGTGACAATTGGTGGAATCTGAATGTGGTAGATTAGATGGAGTTAATAATTACTGATCCGTAAATCCCATTATCTGCTTGATATTGTTAGAATTAGGTGCCAGTCAGAGGAGGGAGGGGATCTGATAGTTGCTGTTACATCTTGGTTCTAATTAGCAGGCATAAGAATCTTGCTGTGAACCAGGAATGTTGCTGAAGGCAAGAGAAACAACCTCAAAGAGAAATGACAGAAGACCAGATGTAAATGTTTTATATCCGGTAGGCCATTTCCTTGCCCTGCCTCTGTCTGGAGACGTGGTGTCTTGAGACACATCCACACTCTTCAAGGAGGCTGCCTGACCCTGAGCAGCTGCTTCATCATTGAATGTATTCATTATGTCTGAGGTTGACTTTAATTTTTCAGGTTCTCCTCTAACTGCTCAGGGATAAGTACATAAAAGCCAATCATCGAAGCACCATTACTCCAACTCCACAAGTCTTTAGCTATCTTCTTCAAGGTTTCTAAAACATAGACAAAACACAAATTACATTTTCCATCCTGTGTGGGATAATTTTGCTTTACAGTATGTGGCAAATTTGAGTCCTGTGACAATTCATATTGTACAAAGTGAAAGGAAGCTTGTCAGCCTGTTCTTTTTTTCTTCCTTCCATATGGCTGATTGATTCATCTCATACTACAAGCTCTCACTAAAATGTGATCTCTGGTGCTTTAAATGAATATATCATTGCTTAAATGGAGTAGCATAGCATAGTGTTTCCATTTCTAAGCACAGGCTGTGGAGCTGGAGAGACCTGGGATTAAAATACACCCCTGATTGCTTACTAGCTGTGCAACACTGAGCTTGTCACTTAACTTCACCAGCCTTTCTTTTCCTGAACTGTGAAATTAAGGTAAATCTGAAGCTGTGAATTCCTTCTCTTATCTAAATTTCCATGTATTTTAATTTTTTATTTTCTATTTATTTATTTGACAACAAAGATTTATCACTCTGTATCAGTGGTGAGCTATGACATGCGTATTATTTATTTTTCTTTTAAAACAAAAGATGTCAATGTGTGTTGTTTTTTAAACTAAAACCTTGTAGTCAGGTTTAATTTCAGTGATGGCCCTTTGCTACAGTAAGTGGGATTTGGGTTACATTTTGGGCACTTGTCTCTAAAAGGTTTGCCATCATTGCTATATTTTTGGTGTTATTAAGCACAAAGAATATAGCAGTGAATAAAATAGGGGTGGGTACCTGGCTTTAGGGAGTTTAAAATTGCTAGAAAACAGAGATAGTCAATTTATCTAATAAATCACTTAATTACCATGGTGAGTAGGTCCATGCCAGTGAAGAATTGAGCTTAAAACTGTGATTGAAAGAAAATATGACCTATTACAATGGCTTAGAAAAGGCTGATCTGAGAGAACATTTAATTTAATTCATTATTTCATGAAGTTATTAATTATTCATCAAGAATTTATTAAGCACCACTTAAATATCAGGCACTATATGATATATTTTAGCATCACTGGGGTGACAATAAGAAGATAAAGTTTTTTGAAAGAGCTTCAAATCTAAAATGATGTTTTTTTGCAACTTCATTTGCAGTATCAAAATATGCTGTTGGAGACTGAGGAGAATTTGTTATAAGACAATAAAATGCCGAAGTCACTTTGAAGTCAAAGTACTGGCATTTATTTTACAGGAGAAAAAAACAGGAAAGAAATTTAAAGTAAGTTGGTACAGAGCTTTGGCTGAGAGGAATAAAGAAAAGAAAAATTTATGTGTAAAACTTGGTAATTTGTCTGGGGAACTTAGTTTGATGCCAGAATGAGTTCTGATGAGAGTATTACTGAGAGCTGTTACTCAGCTCACTGATGTGGTTGGCTGCTTATTTCTCCTAGAATAATGGTCACATTGCTCACTACCTTGCAGAGTCAATGACAAAGCAGAGCAAACCACATAATCTGCTTATCCTGCTGTCAAAACCAAATGGCACTCAGACCTACTTAGAATATCCGAAGAATTTTTCCTTATTATGGATATCAATCTCTGCTTAATGAGGAAGGAAATTCACACAATAGTTTGTTGGTGGGGCTTTGTTAACATGTTAATGTGACTACAGTAGCCTTTAGTTACAATTTGCACATGCTGTCAAATGAGTGCCACATATGAGATGTTCGGTTTATCAGTGAGCTTGTTGCCTCTGCTTTGAAATGCATAGGTACATTTTCTGTCACATCCAAGTCCCAGTCACCTCTGTCCTTGGATAATCCCAATGACCACTGCATTGGTACATTCCATTCACATTGGCACCTCTCCAAATGAGTGTTAACACTGCAGCTAGAATATTCTTTTCAAAATGCAAACTTAGGGGCCAGGGATTTAGCTCAGTGATTCCGGTGCCTGCTTTGCAAGCTCAAGGACCTGAGTTTGATTCCTGGTACCCCCCCAAAAAAAGCAAATTTGAAGGAGCTACTTTTTCTTATTTTTTTTAAGGGGTATGTCAACATAGTTTGAATACTGAGACTCATTTATCTCTAAGGTTTTGTCATCATAGAAGTCCCCAGTAACTTATTTATAAAATGCATTTAATAGTTTTGATTTTAAGTACTTTTTAGTTTACAGAAAAACTGAAAGGAGGATAAAGAGATTTCCCATATACTTCTTAACCCCTCACATACAGGCATTGCCTTCTTTATTATAAATATCCCCAACCAGAGTGGCATATATATTAGAATCAGTAAGCTTACATTGACACAATGCTACCTAGAGTATATAGGTTGCATTAAGGTGAGCTCTGGGTGTTTGCAGTTCCTTCCGTGCTGAGTAAACATACAACATAATCCCACCAGTGTAATTTGCAGAGTAGCTCCACTGCCCTAAATATCCTCTGTGCTCTTTGTATCCCACCCTGCCTGCCTTAAGTCCTGGTAACCTCTGATCTCTTTCCCAACCCCGTAGTTTTGTTTTTGACAATATGTTTTATAGCTGGATTATATACTATGTAGCTTTTCAGATTAACTTTTTAAATTTAGTAACATACATTTAAATTTCATATATATATGTGTATATATGAAATAGATATGAAAATGTATTCATAAAGAAAAGGATCATGGTTCAAACCCCAAAGAATGAACTCAGAGGCAGGAAATGCAGTAGAAGTAGGACATTTAATCACAAATGATCTTGTAAAATGGTGTTTGTACAGAGACAGGAGCACTTGGTTTGGAAACCAGGAGATTTTATCCCTAGCTTACAAGATTCTCTTCTTCCGTCTCTCATTATCTGAGGTTAGGGAGGCACAATCTGTCCCCAGTGGCACCTGCCATTTCCTCTTTTTGGCCTCCTTCATCCTCCCCTTGTGTGTCATTTCTTTGTGAGTCTTTATTTTTTTGTGGTTCCCATGATCATTATTCATGAATATGTCTTTGTTTTACAATTATCTGTTACCCCAGGACTTTGTCTTTGTTTGGGTTTAGGGATTCATTAGGAGTGAGTCATTTTGCATCCTGCATGTCTGCTATTTGACCCAGTTGTCTGTTGATAAGGGTAATGGCCTGCCACCAAATCTCTGTGGAAGTATTTGAGGTTAAAATAAAACATGGACCATCTAATTCTTTTGTTTCTTACAATTCACTACCAAATGGGGTGTGTGTGTGTGTGTGTGTGTGTGTGTGTGTGTGTGTGTGTGTTTCATATCTTTTCACCATCCTGAAGGACATCTTGATTGCTTCTAAATTTTGGCCGTTATAGAAAAAGCTGCTGCAAACTATGTGCAATGTCCAGGTTTTTGTATGAGCAGAATTTATAAACTCCTATCCAAGTAGTGTGAGTACTGGCTTGTGTTGTAAGAGTGTGTTTAGTTTTGTAAGAAACTGCTGAACTGGCTTCCAAAGTGGACATCCACTTGCATTCTCACAGGCAATGAAGAAGCATTTGTTTCTCTTCATCCTTGTCTGCTCTTGATATTGTCAAACTCTGGAGTTTGGTCATTCTAGTGAATATGTGATGGCATCTCATATTTTTATGATGTGGTGTTTCTTTTCATATGCTTAGTTGCCACATGTACAACTTTTTTATTGGTGTGTCCACTAAGGTCTCTGGCCCCTTGTAAAGCCATATTTTTTTGCTTTCTTTTTGTTGAGATTGAAGAGGTTTTTTTTGTATCCTTTTGATAACGCTATTAGTGGCCATATCCTCTGCAAATATCTTCTCCTAGCCTATTGTTTGTCTTTCTATTTTCTTGAGCAGAAATTTTATATTTTAATGAACTCTACCTTATCTCTTCTTTCTTTTATAGATCATATCTTTGGTATTGTGTCAAATCAAAGGTCACAGATTTTCTTCTATGTTGTCTTCTTGGAGTTCTGCATTTTTATATTTTATATTAAATTCTGTGATCCATTTTTGGTTAATTTTGTGAAAACTATAACTTCTGTACCTGAAATCATTTAAATTTTTATATGTGAATGCCCAACTATTCCAGCACTATTTGTTGAAAAGATGATCTTTTTTTTTTTTTCTTTTTTGGGGTATTGGGGATTGAACTCAGGATTTTTCTCTTGGGAGACAGGTGGCAGAAGCAATGAGGTAAGTGCCCAGCCTTTGACTCAAAATTACAACAATGATTTCTGCTGAAAATTTCAGCCTGCCAGATTACCCTGCTGATTTTAGACTTGCCAGATCTCATAATCAGGTGAAATTATCTCCTGAAATCTGTCTCTCTATCTCTGTCTCTGTCTCTTTTTCTCTCTCCTTCTATTTCTGGCTATTAAATCTCTATTTTATTTCCTATTGCACAAATGTGAGCTACTGAAATACTTTGTGACAGACTAACACTTCTAGCCAACTAATTCCAAATTTGCCTTCTTACTATAATAGGACAAAATGGACTAAAAATATTAAACAGCTCTTTTCCAACATTGGACAGCTGGCATTTCTGCATTGGAATACCCCAGAGAAGGGCAGCAGATGAAGTGATTCTATGTTTGTCCCAATTTTCTTTTATAGTTTTCTCTGACCACAGTAGAAAGAAGGGAGCATACATCAAGTACAGTCATCTCTCAATAACAGGATATGTTCTGAGAAATGCGTTTGGGAAATCTCATCACCATGCACACATCATAGAGCATTCTTACACAAATGAGATGTCTACAACATCATTAGCCACTATAGCCTTATGGGACCGATGTCATATATGTGGAATATTATTGATCAAAGTGTTGGTATGTCTAGTTTTAACAGACAGAGATTAGAGTTTGTGTAAAGCAAGGGGGCTAAAATCGGGAAACTATTCTATAGGAAAGCAACCTTACAAATATGTATGGAGTCCTCTTGAATTTTTAGCTAAACTAAAATACACATGTATAAAGCTCCATGCTGTAGAAAAATGGAAAATTTTAAGTTATAAGCTGAGTAATTCCAAAAGTTCAAGACATTTGTGTTCCAACAGGTAAAAGGAAGATTGACCACACAGTACGCTCAGCGGAGATCTCAACGAGGTAGTAAGTATAAAATAGCCTTAGAGACAAACCTACTATAGCTTTTTCCTAACAAAGATTATAAATAAGTCTCCATGTAATAAAGCCAAGAGTCAACTGTCTATTAGAATAAAGTTCAAATTTATTTTTAAAATTAATCATAAATATATTATGACAAATTAATCAATACATTCATCACTACCTCTGCTATACATTAGATTGCCAGAATTTGTCTCATAATGTATGTATTCTTTGACCAATAGCTATATACACAATATATTATATTACCTAATACGCTAATACATTATAGTACAATGTATATATTACATTTTATTGTAATATATTATATAAAATATATAATATAATTGATATGATATATATTATTTTTCTAACTACCAACACTACAGAGTTACCGTCATTTCACCATTGACATTGATCATCTTTTTTGATAATAGTCATATTAATAGATGTGAGAGGATGCTGTGTTTTTTATTTGTTGCTCTCTGATGATTAGTGATTAAACACCCTTTCGTGTACCTCTAAGACAGTTTTATGTCTGCTTTGGAAAATTTTCTGTCCAGGTAATTTGTACATGTATTTTTAACTAGTTTCTATTCTATTGAGTTGTTGAGTTTTTAATATATTCTGAGTGTCAGCCCCTTATCAAATATATGTTTTGCAAATATTTTCTTAGTTTCCTTTTAATTTTGTTGAATTTTTTCCTTTGACGTGCAGAAACGTTTTAGCTTGATATGTAGTTTCAGTTGTTTATTTTTGGTACTTCTCTTTTTATTTATTATGTTCTGTGCCTGTGTTTCTGATGTCATATCCCCAAATTCAGTGCCAAGTGAAATGGCAAGAAAAGTTTTTTTAAACCTTAGTTTTGTTCTAGAGGTTTTGAACTTACATTTAAGTTTTTAACTCATTTTGGGTCCATTTCACCGTGCACTTAAAATTCAAACCAACGTCAAGCATTCTTTATAGGAAAATGTTAAAGCAACCAATGATGCAACTTTCAAACTGTCCAAAATTTTAAAAAATATCCTAAGAAAGTTGGAAAATATGACCAAGAACAAGGACAAAATTACTTCATGCAAACAGATAGAGAAATGACAAATGATAGAATTATTAGTCAATGACTTTTAAAAAGTGATCATGAATATGCTGAAGAAATGACAGAAAGCATAAACATAATTAAGCTACAAAGTAAAAATATAAAACCCTCAAATGGTAACTGTATAGTTGAAAATAAAATGTGTAGTAGTGAAAATTATAATAAATTGTATTAATACAGGTTGGAAGTTGCAGGGAAAAAGATCAGTGATCTTGAAATAGTCACAGAAATTATTGGAAGTGAAACATAGATAAAGAAGCAAAAGCAGATGAACTACCATAGTAATATACAGGATTATATCAAGTAGTCTAATATATTTGAATCAAAATCTGGCTATAATTGTAAATAAGATCCTAATGAAAGGTAATAAGGGAAAAGAAAAAAATATGACAAAATGAAAAATTGGAAATAAAGTGTTTGTAAATGGGGAGGGGAAGAGCGGGTGAAGGGAGGGCAGGGACAAGGGGAAAAAATGAGAACCAAGACCTGTCATGTAAAGGTACAAGATCCCACTAATGAATGTAACTGTATTGTATACCTAAAATGTACCAATAAACTCAATGAGAAAAAAAAACCTGGCAAAAGTAAAGCGATTGGTCAAATAGCTAAGAATTTCTTCAGTACTCCTTCAATAAATGATAGAAGAAATACACATGTGAATAACTAGCAATCAAGTAAAACTGATGGGCAGAGTTCTCACAGGTCAGGCATAAATTATGTGAGGATTTAGAATGTATTTCTAACTGGATGGCAATGAAAATACAACATATTAAAATTTATGTGACACAACTAAAGCAGTATATAAAAGGTTTATAGCGTTAACTCATTTAAGAAAGCAAGTGGATAAAAAACAAGTTATCTTAATCTCATTCATAAACGCTAGCAACAGAAAAAAAGCTACTTTCAACGTAAGTAGGGGATAATAGCAAACACAATAAATAATGTAAATAAATAAAGAAATAGAATAAGTAAGATGGAGGTAACAATAATATAAGAAAGTAATGAGAGGGAAAAAGGAAAACTAAATATTTTTTCTAAAACATTAACAAAATTGAAAATGTTCAACATAGTTTGAAGTAAAAAAGAAATACACTATCAATTATAGTAATGAAAGAGAATAATACTACAGATTCTAAGATATTAGAAGAGCACTGCGGAAATGTATGCCGACATATACATCGGGATAATATTGAATTTGGCAATTCTACAATACATTTATTCCTTGAAATGTACAAGTTATAAACATTAGAGTAAAAATTTAATAAGAATATATCTATGAAAAAATGGAATTTCTAATTAAGTCTTCCTTATGAAGATAAATTCAGTCTAAGGTAGTTTTACTTATGAAGTGAAGACAACTCTTTAAGAAAAAGATAATAGCCATTATTCAAAAACTCACACAAAAAAAAGAAAAATTTCATGTCCTTTTTTTTTTGGTACCAGGGATCAAACACAGGACCTTCCACTTGCAAGGCAGGCACGGTGCCACTGAGCTAAAAGCCTGGCTTTACATTCATTTTCTGGTGCTCATATAACAAAACACATAAAATTACAGGCGAACACCCTTCGTGAATGGAAATGCAAACATTCTTAACCAAATATTAGAAATATCAAGTTTAGAAATATATAAAATGTATAACACAATATTAACTAATGCAACTTAATTCTAGAAAGCAAAGTTAATTTATATTTTGAAAGACAATATATTTTATCACATTAAGACAAGAAAAGAGAAAATATAATAATTTTAAAACATGAAGAAAAAAATTCAACATGACTCTGTACCAAATAATGACAAAGCTTTCTAGATACTAGGAGTAGATAAAAACTTTTTCAAACTGAGCGTGCAGTGTAGATCTTTCCCATGCACAGTTCACAGCGGGTTTTGTACTCCTGTGAGAACCCATACCAAGGTTGATCTGACAAGAGGTAGAGCTCAGCCAATACAGCCGACCATGGGGACCATGAAGCTTTCTTCCCTTGTCGGCTGCTCACTCCCTGATGTGTGGCCAAGTTCCTAATAGGCCATGGACCGGTACCAGTACCAGTCCATGGCTGGGTGTCAGGAACCTCTAATTTGAAAACAAAATTTAAGAAGGCCCCGATGTTACTTTTTAGTATCTTTTTGCACACTTAAGACGTACTGAACTTCATAGAGGCTCTGAAATGTCTGTCAGGAAACCTTTCCCTTTGCATATGTAAATCTTGCTCTTTCTACAGCTCTAGACTTGCAGAGAGGATTTCTGTAACTGGATTTCCATCCAGTTAAAATTGGATTATGATCCATCCTTATCCCTTACTATAACATTTACTAATTTTATTTGTCACATGTTTACTACTTATTTGATATCCTATGTTACTTTACTTTTTGGAAAAGTAAATTTCTGGCAATAATTTTCAGATGTGAATCATGTTTGAAAGCTATCTATCAATTCCAAAAGGTTTTGAATAAAGTCCTGTGATTCCAAAACCCTGATAGAGGAGCCTCTTGGGCTCATAAAAACAAGGTTAATCACGCACAGAAGAGTCAGGCTGTCAAATGGTCATAAAGCGCCTGAAGAATTTTGACCTTGCTCAGGATAAAAAGTAACTTTATTCTTAGGAAGGGAGTCCAGCTCACTTTAATAGCTGGATAAGAAGCAGGATAATCAGCCCCAGACAGGATCTGAAGTAGCTTGTATAGTTTTAGCAAAAAACATTTTTGCTTGATTGAAATGTCAATCATTAACATGCTATTCAGTGTTGGAGATTTTTGTTCTGGTAGACATGGATTTGCAGGCTCAGTTCCCACTGTGTGCTAAGTGCTACAAAGGCCTTGCATGAACCATGATGTGGGCAGACCCATGAAGGATTTTCTGATTTTATTAAAGCAACATTTTGACTACACTCAGTGATAATAGCAGTGATAGTACAGAAATTTATGAAAGTAATATTACAAAATCCATGTTTTTCTCAATCCTTTATGGCTCCAAAGCACATGGGTACTGCTTTTTTTCCTTCTTCCCAAAAACGTGTGTTTTTTTTAGAATTGGTTTATGTGCATCCTAAACTGAGAACTTTGTTCCCTGATTATATATCCCACTCACTAATATTTATGTATGTAATTAATATTTAATTGTTTTAGAGCCATATAGCCATTTTCTCATGCTGAGATCTCCTGTGAAATTTCAGAGCTTCACTTTTCGCGGATGTTCCAGCCCTGTCATGATGCAGTCTTTCAGCAGAGAATCCTTATTCTATCCACTCAGTTTGCTGCAGCTCTGCATTCCTCTCCTTGTTTGCTTCCCTTGGGCTTTTTGCAGCTCCTCTGTGTGTTGTTTGCCCCTTGCTTCTTTGTCATAGCTAGATCTTTCCCATAACAAATCTCTTCCTTGTGGAGAGTTAAAGTTTTTCTTTGTTAAGGTGGAGGAAGAGCCCTGTGCTTCTTGTAGCCTGCTTTGTGAGTTCTGAGAGTGAGGAGTGAGTGGGTAGTTCCTGGGGTAACCAGGGTCCAAGTCTTTGGGCGATAGCTACAGTCAATCTACATCAGCCTCCTAAGAGACCATTTGAGCCTGTTGTGAATGTAATTCATGGCATTATTCTTTATTCAGTTTCTTTCAGACCTATATTTGGGTACTTTACTGAGAAGTCTGAAGAGATGAGTTGAAAATGTCACTTCTTAGATTTTAGTTTAATTTTAACAATGATTTGAATTATTAATCCAAAATTATGGGTTTTATTCAGTAAACTTTGTATCTTCTTTTAAGAAATGTTTATTGTGTAAATATCCTGAAAAACACAATATGAAACAAAACAGCTCATAAAAATTATTCCCTTTAAATTGGTCACAGGCTGGTGGAAAAACCACATGAATAACCAAATAATTACTGTGCTATATATTAGAATGGATAATTA